GAATTTTCAAAAATATTATGGCATGCACAATGGGTCAATTTATTACTTGTAAAAATATTAATATAATCTAGTTATTGCACATTAATATTATGCACATTTTTTCTTAACAACATCATCGCTTAGAATCCCAAAGCGATGTTAGCAAAATTCAATGAAACAGTTTATGGTTTCTACATAAAAATAAATTAATAATTTATTTATAAGAACAGTTATTGAAAATATTGTGGTAAGTTAATTGGTTATTCCAGTTATGTTAGTTTCGTTTCAAAAAAAGCTATTTAATTATTTAGTTGTATTTGAATTTACAGTTTTTTTTTTAAAATTATAATTAAATAAAATTAAATGGTCTTTTTTTGTTGAACTAAATGGTTTTCCGTAGTTATCTAGATAAATGCATAACAAAAGAGTTTAATTTTTTTATATATTTTTGTCAATTTTTATACTATTTGATTGCAGTATACCTAATATATCATGTACACTCCACAAAAATACAATATACGTAAGAAATCCTCGTCTTATAGGAATTTATGGAGCCAATGTCTATATAATTATTCATTTGTGTTTGAATTTATAATTTTTTAAATTTAAATTGAATGGTTAGTTTTGAACTAGATGGCTTACCTAGTTATGTAGATCACGATATAAAAAAACAGTTTAATTTATTTATATTTTTATATATTAATTTTTGTCCACATTAGCATCGTAGTTGATTATAGTATATCCAACATATCATGTTAAGCCATCGAAATAAAGTATTTGTAAATCATCCTATCATAGATTTATGGAGTAAATGTCTATGGAATTATTTATTTTTATTTGATTTTACAATTTTTTAACTACGGTAAACCATCTAAATAAAATATTTAAAATTAAGTGGTTGGTTTTGTTGAAATGGATGACTTACCTAGTTATCTGGGTCAAGATATAACAAAATACTTTTATTTATTTTAATAATATTAATATATTTATTTTTGTAGACTTTTGTATCGTAGTTGATTATAATATACCTAACATATCATGTGCATAACACAGAAATGAAATATGAGTAAATCATCGTCTTTGTAGGAATTTATGGACTAAGTGTTTTATGTAATTATTTATTGGTATTTGAATTTACCGCTTTCTTAAATTAAAATTAAATGTTTGATTTGTTCACCACCCCGATAAATTCATGTCGCACCATTCCTTATAAATTTGAAATTAATTGCTTTTATTACAAGATTTAGTCAGGCAAGAATTTTTGCCACGATATTGTGCATGCAAATGAGTCAATTATCACAAAAATTTTTATTTATAATCTGATTATTGCCATGATCATTTCAATTAAATTTTGTCATCTTTTTGTTTAACATTGACAAAATCAGTGGTGGACCCCTTGTAATAGTAGCTAATAGCGTGGTTTGTTGAGCTTGTGTGAATCCCTAACTAAAAAAATACACTCATGTCCCATAACTTAAGGATATTGAAGTTCAGGCAAAGAAGAGACAGAAGCAAAACAAATTTGACTTATTTGTAGGAGTCTATTTATTGAACAAAAAGGTAAAGAGCAAAAAGAATGCTATCTAAACGACTATAATTAATAAAAGTGCATTTTTACTCCTGGAGCAAATTTCAAAAGAACATATTTACGAAAAACAGCATAACATTGTTGGTATGATGGTTAATATGGAGTATGTCTCGGACGATGCAATACAGGCCTTACAACGCCTAGGCATGCTGAGTATCAAATTATCAATCTGATCTTGGGGGAGCATATTACACCACTCATCAAGCAATGCCCTCCGAAGTTCCGGTTGACGAGGTGGGAGAGGTTGACGGGCTGCAATTCGTTGGCCAAACATATCCACATGCTCTATTGGATTCAAGTCAATAGGGGTGGTATGCTGGCTTAATCCATACGGGTACGACATCCTCCAGTGAAGGCATTCGTCTACAATGTTTGCACGGTGAGGACGGGCGTTGTCATCCATAAACAGAAATTCAGCACCCATGGCGCCCCGAAACAAACGTATGTTGTTCCAGAATGACATCCCGATAGATGTGGCCTGTCATCGTTACACTCTTTGAACATGCAGGTCAGTTCTGGAACCAGGAATAATTCACTCCCCAAACGGGCCATTTTTGCACCACCGTAACGGTGTCGTTCAATTTTTCTTGTGGTAACGGTACCTGGCGCTCTCCATATGAAAGTCATCTCAGACTGCAAACTAAACCTGGACTCGTCGGAAAACATCACACAAGACCACTGTTGCGGTGTCCACATATGCATGCTCTCTACTCAGGTTAATCGCAGGCGACAGTGACTTGCTGTAGTGGAACACATCTGATGACAGGCCAACGAGCATATAGACCAATGTGCCGTAAGCGTCTGTACACGGTCTGCCTTGAAACTGTCGTACCAGTAGCTGAAGAGCTGACGAGACAGGTCTGATGCTGTGCTCCGTCTGTTTCTTTTGGCAGTAATGCTAAATACCGGTCCTCATTCGGCGTTGTAACTCGGGGGCGACCTGTGCTGTAACATCGGAATCATTGCCAAAGCCTGGAGATGACAGTTCAACCTCGGATCTACTGGGTACGTCCACATTCCAGTCGTCCGATAATTCTACCCCGTAAAAAATCATCAAATATAACTTGCATTTCACTGAAGGCTTTAAAGCACTTGTGAACAATTTTTACTTCTTTGCCACCATTCCTTATATACCCCTCTCTTACACTCTCGTCATTGCGACGTACTATCCGCGCCATCTGGTGGTTTCCTGTATTGCATATTCTTCTTCAAGATGTGTGTGATAATTCTACAGGTGAAATTTTATTTTAGAGTTCAATTTCTGTGTGATTTATTTTGGTTATGGACATGAAGTATAATTCCAATGCCAGAAAAACTTAGAATGTTTCCACAAAGCATGTCTTTTTTTCAGTTCTATGTTCAGTAATTTCTATGCTCGCCTAATTGCCACATATTTGATCAACAAAATGACAAATAATAAAGCAAAAGCATATGTTTAAGAAGCAATATTTGTCCCAATAGCAGTCGATAGCTTACAATCTTAAAGCGATATTATAAAATCGAATGACTGAGCCTAGTTGTACATAAAAAAATAACAATTTATTTATAAGATGAGTTAATGAAATTATTGAATTAATTGATTATACCATTTATGCATATTTCGTTTAAAAATTTGTAAATGAAATTATTAATTTGGACTTGAATTTACAGTTATTTAAATTAAAATTATAGGGTTGATTTTTGAACTAAAAAGGGTTTACCCTAGTGATCTAGACCAAATATAACAAAAATATTTCAATTTATTTAAATTTATAGATTAATTACCGCCTTTCATATTCATTTGATTATAGTGTACCTAAAATATCATGTGCAAAACAGAAATGCAACATATGTGAAGTCATCATCTGATAGTAATTTATGGGAGTAAATATCTCAATACCATTTATATAATATTACAAATTTAAAAATGAATTAAAAAACATCAAACCGGCAGACATTTGATGTGCTATTCTTAAACACAATGTTAAATAGCATAAAAAAACCATTAACAGTAAACAACCACTAATCTTATCTTCCCAAAAATGTTTCAGCCACAGTTAACACTTTGCAGTTTTGAATGTGGTATAAAATTACAAAATATTTTAATTTATTTATAATTTTTATATATTTATTTTTCTAATTTTTGTATTGTAGTTGATTATAGTATAACTAACATATCCTATGCAGCCAGCAGAAATACAATTTGTGCAAGAAATCATCATCTTATGGGATTTATGGTGTAAAATATCTCCGAATCTGTCATTTATATGGAATAAAAGTAAAATTAGATGAAAATCATCAAACAGTCACACATTTTGATGTATTATTTATTCTTACACACAATGTTAAATAGTATAACAAAAGCAACTAACAATAAACAATAACTAATCTTCTCAAAAAAAAATTACTATTATGATAAGCCCTTTGCAGTTTGGATGTAAGGATAAAATTGCAAAATAGTTTTTTAATTTATTTATAATTTTTATATATTTATTTTTGTCGACTTCTGTATACTACTTGATTATAGTATACATAAAACATCATGTGCAGCCAACAGAAATAAAGTATGTGTAAGAAATCCTCATCTTATAGAAATTTATGGAGCAAATATCTCCGAATATGCCATTTTATACCAAGATAAAGAAAAATTAAAAAAGGATAAAATTCAGACTATATTTTGATGTACTATTCTTACAAAGTTAAATAGCATAACAAAACCATCTAACAATAAACAACAACTAATCAACAATAATAAACAACTAATCTTATCATCTTACCAAACAAATTACTGACACAGTAAAGCGCTTTTGGTAATTTTTAATGTAGTATAAAAATTGCAAAAAATAGTTTATAATTTTCATATATTTATTTTTGTCCACCTTAGCATTTTAGTGTAATTATAGTATACCTAACATAGCATATGTAGCCAATATAAATACCACGTGTGTGTAAGAAATCATCATATTATAGGAATTTATGGAGTAAACGTCTCGAATATGCCCTTCAGGCCAAATAAATAAATAAATAATCAACAGGTAGAAATTTGATGTGCTATTGTTACACACAATGTTCAATTGTGTAACTAACAATCAACTAACAATAACCAACAACTAATCTTATCTTCTCAAACAAGTTCAATGGCTTTACTTACTCACGGTAGTTTTGTTGTTGTTGTTTCTTATCCCACTTGGCTGGCTAAGCCCACGAGCCCATACGTACTCATGATTGTAGGGAAAGAAGCAGCTTCTATTGTAATGGAGCACCCGTAGGTAGAAGTCTGACTTTGGCTCCGTGACGCTCGTACAGTCATGGGAGACCGACCTACGGCTTAAAGTGGATTCCGAACCACTACAAACATCCATGGCACCGCCGGGATTCGAACCCGAAACCTCCGTGGCACCGAGCACCAGAGCTCTAGGCACTCGGCCATTCAGGTTCCAAATTTGTGAATGCCAACGGCTCGCGGTGTTCCCAGGGAGGTCACCCACCCCAAGTGACCGACCGCGCCCGCAATGATGCTTGACTTCGGTGATCTAACGAGAACCGGTATGTTCAAGCATGGTATGGCCGTTGGCTGCAGTTTTAATTTAGTGAAAATTGCAAATTTTACACGATACAACAATGTCTATGTTTGTGCGTATGTAAGTAAAGCTGAGAGTTCTCAAACCTGTCCCTCATGTATCTCAATCCAACCACATCCAGTTACGATCTGGTTGCCCAATTTGCACACTACAATATGAATTACTATAGAGAATGTTTTTAGACTGTTTAAATTATTTGAAAATAAAACCTTTATTATTAATTGTTGATTTAAAATAAGACCTGATGTTAGTTATTTCTACAATCGAAAAAGCGATTTAGAGAAATAGAGTTTACATAAATTATTATCAATAAATGGAGAACAACACATATAAGTTCTGCAAATTCTCAAAAAAATATAGACATTTTTCGTAAATATCACGACGAACGTAATAATTGCAAATTCCCTATCAAATATACAAAATATGTTTACGAATATAATACATCTTATAATTAGGGTCATAGGCATAGATATTCAAAAAATATCATAAAATAATGAACTTAAGTTGATTAAAGATTCTGAAAATTATTTAAAAAACTTTGCAAATAAATGGAGATTAATCTTAGAACCAAGATTATGAAAGAACATGATTTTTGTAAAACTCTGTAATATTCATGTTTATTCAAGATTTAGAAAATGTGTTCTCATATATTTTGTTATAGATCAGTTGAAAATAAATAATTTTTACAACGTTAAGAATTAGCAATACGTAACT